CATTTTTATGCACGAACAACATCAATACTCCCATTTGAATCCATGAACTCAAATGAACCCAACATGCTCCACAAACACATACAAGCAAACACACTACACATGTTGATCTATAAGCGTTATAGGAGTGCTAGAAGTGTATTACCTTACTACTACTTGCTAGAGAAATAACCCCATGTTTACCCAAGCACCACTTTCTATTTACCCTTACTTTTGAAGCCTTTTATCATTTCTCTCACTAAAAAAATCAAAGGATTGAATTATTCACTCATTTAAGAACTTAGGAGGGGTAATAGAATTATTTTTAAGGGTTAGAAATGATTCAGAGCTATCCTTAAGCTCTAGAACACAAAACTTCTCTAAAAACCCCGTTTGGCCACCATGGCCAAACTATAAGGTGGAGAGCTCAAAAGGAAGCTTTATGGGAGCTTATTACACATCTTACCTTTGGACTTTCGGGCTAGGGATTGAGGACAAAAAGCTTTCTCCTTTGCTACCCACTTTAAGGAAGATGAAAAAGAAGGAAAATAGGAGAAACACAAGGAGATGGTGAAGAAAAAGAGATAACTATATGTTTACATCACCCTTCTTAATGGAATTTCAGCCTTTGAAATACTTTAGGAGTAAATAAATTACTTCCTTGATCCAAATATTTGATCCTAAACCAAAAATACCCTTTTAACATCTTTATGGGCTTAAACCAAGCCCAAGCAAGTCCAACCTGACTCAAAGCTTCTTGATGGACTGTCGGGTTTATCCAAAGCCACTAGGGTTAATTCAAAACTACTGACCCATGAATCAGGGTATTATAACTCTCTCCTCCCAAAAAGAAAATCCGTCTTCTAAATTTACCTGGATAAAACAAGTAGGGATATTGAAGTTACATATCTTCCTCGATCTCCCAAATTGCTTCCTCGATACCATGGTTCCTTCATAGGACCTTTACTAATAGAATCTGCTTGCTCCTCAACTTCTTGACTTCTGAGTCCAAAATCCTGATTGGTTCCTCTTTGTAGGACATATCTCGACTTATATCAATTTGCTCTAACAGAACGATATCTCCTAAGCATCAATACATAGAATATATTGCGAAAAGATCTATTCATTGATGTATTGTTCACTTGAACATTTGAAGATTGTGTTTTAGATTGAATCGTAAAAATCAAAGATCTAATGTGATATCGTCATAAGGAGAGCAAATACAACTTGTAATCGTTTTCCTTTAACCATGGTTTTTTCTCACTGGATTTTCCTGGTAAATTTTTTAATGAGGCAACATAATATGTGTATTAAATATACGTGTACTATTTTCCTTTATTAAGCATTTTCCCTTAAGATATTTATCTTAGTAAGGTTTTAATGAGACATTATTTTCATAGATATCTAATATGGAGTGTTATGAATATTTATTTAGGTAGAAGTTTATCTTTATCTATAAGATATTATTTTGATTAGATCTCTGACATCCATTAGTATTAGAGCTGTATATTACATCTACTATTTATGGCTATAAATAGAGAGGATAGAGAAAGCATTGTACGTAACTCATAATCTTTCCGTATTTTTATATCTCTTCTTCTTCTTGTTCTTATTATTGGTTCATTTAGATTATTTCACAACACTTATCAATTATTTTAAACTTTTCTATATTTTTAATAAAAATGATCCTAATTGAAATAAAAAAATTAATCATATCGCAGACGGACATAAGGAGGACCCATGATATCATGCATAAGAAGTGCATCGACTGGAATCGGTGTGAAGTCAAATAGACTAGTTGGCTAGCATTGCTACCATCGATCTTTGCTAAAGAATTTGCTATCATATTTGCTTCTCCTCGGATAAGCTTAAAGTCCACAAACCAAGCTTGGTTGAGTAGCGTTGCAATCTCACGGGCTAAGGAACAGGGGCTGTCGAAGGATGTGTTTTTTTAAGAAGGTGATAAGCATCCGAGCTATCCAATTGAAGTTGGATCTTATCAAAACCATATGACCATGCAAGCTCGAGACCTTCAAGAACTCCCCAAAGCTTCGTTGCAATGACAGAGGTAGATCCAAGATTCTTGTTAAATCCCGAGAGGAAGTTGCCAAGATGATCTATAAAAACTCCACCAGCTGCTACTAAACCCTCCACACTGATCGTACCGTATGTGTTAACACAAATCCAATCCTTGGGAGCTGGCGACCATTATACTTCTGTTGCACTTTGAATGCTCCTTGTACGTGAGTCGGTCGAAGGTTACGTTGCATATTTGGCTAGATAAAGACTCCGATGAAGGATGGAAGTTGCGTTGCATCGCACACCATTGAAAACCTTGTTGTTTCTTCTCTTCCATGTGTGCCAAAAAAATATAGGTAAACAAGATATTCCATGGAATTTCAAAAATCGGGTGGCAAGTATTAATCTTCAAATTTGTAGTGATCCAATCTTCCACCTGCAAATTGAAAAACCAAGGGGTATCAAGACCATTAAGAATATCAAGCCAAAGGTGCATGTTTTATTGTCAGGCAATCCCAGAGAATATGAATAGAAGATTCCTCAATTGCACTGCATGCAGAACATGTTGGGTCATGGACCATTCGTCGTTTACAACGATTAACGTCAATGAAAATTCTATCCTGGATCGTTAACCATTGGAAGCAGTGCATCCTTTCGAGGACAGCAAGATGCCAAATTGTCTTCCAATTAGGATCACGCTGGTGCAAATTGTTCTTTATCAGTTGAAGGTAAGCACTTTTAACAGTGAAATGTTTGCGGTCTCCATGATTCCAGTAGCATCTGTCTTTACCAGAAGAGGCGATCGGTGGCTTGATGCCATGAAGATGCAATATGGCTGAGCCGCTGAGGGATGAAGCACTTGGTGGATAGCATTCCGATTCCACGAACAATCGTTAGAAAAAAGTCTTGAAAACGAGAGTCAATTCAGGTTAACGAGGATTTTTTCCATGCATGGAGAGGTCCAAGCTTGGGAATCCAATTGACGTACCAAAGCTAATGAGAGAACCATCACTAATTGGCCAAGGAAGCTGCGATTTGAAGGATGACCAAACTTTACCAATGGATCTCCAAAGAGGGGAACATTTTGCTTTATCAAGCGAATCTGGTACAAAGGTTTTGATTATGTATTTTTCGATTATTAAGCGAACCCAGAGGCGATGATGAGAGCATATTAAAGCATCACAAAACTTCATGCGGAAGGAAATGTTTTGATTTCACAAGAGGAAAGGATTTATTATTCACGTTTATACCCCAAAGAAAATTGTGGATGAAAGAGTGAAACTCTAAAATTTTTTCTGATAAGGTCTCTGCCGTTACCTAGGAAGCACGGGATGGCAAACTTGTTCCGTTTCAAGTATCCAATACCGGGGACGACATGGGGACAGCTAGAGTACGTACCGAGGACATACCACGGTGGCAGGGTACGGCTAAACGACGTCGAGGACGTTTCATCGAGTCCTGGGGACGTTTCGGGGACGGCATGTAACTTTCACATGCATCCCCAGGATATTTTCGTCATTTTACATTAAAAAACAACGCGAACAACATAACCTAATTGGAGGCTGGAGCTTTCGGCAACAATCCAACTCCTCTATTGGAGCTTTCGACAGCAATTGCTTTTGCCTCTTGAGCTTTTCGGCAGCAATTGGCAGCAAGTGCTTCTGCTTCTTTTACCAACCAAGTACATTGCTGGGATAAACTTGAACAAGTCAGATTTCTCTATTACTCTTTTGCTGTAAGTATTTCAAGATCTAATTGTATCTTTTTTGTGCCAATATCTTCAGGCTTCAATTGGGTTCTCAAGTGTTGCATCATGAGCTATTTATAACTTCTTGTTAGCATTTTAGAAGATCTAAAGTGTGCTCAATTGATGTATGTAGTCTTCGTTATTGCATAAGCTCTTCGTTATTGCGTAAGTTCCATTTAGTTAAGACAGACATTTAGTTTAACATGTTTACAGAAGGAGCAAGCTTCTCATTGCTTTCATATTCTTGCCACAGTGTATTGTGTCTCCTAAATTAGTAACAAGGGTAAGTTCTTCTGTGTTTCTTTTTGTCGCATAACTGGTGATGGTTTTGACTTTTGAATGGTTGATTATGTTTCAAGGTTACATGACTACTCAATACTAATTAGTTGCTTTCTATGGGATTTTGGTTTTGGTGTGAGAATAGTTGAGATTTTAAACAGTGTTGGTTTTCATTTTTCTAGTAGTATCAGTTTCGATTTCTCAAGAACAAAAAACAGAGTATATCAAATTCCATATTCGTAATAGGATAGAACGAAATCCATTTTCCGGGGACCTTTTTTCAATTCGAAGCAAAACAGATTGATGGCTGCTTATTACATGGTTATTAAGAGAGTTTAATCATATCATTATTGCCATTTTCTGCCAAATAATGTACTTAGAGCATGGTTATTAAAGATAGTTAAACTCGATTGATTCTGCTTGTTACATGGTTATTACATGGTTATCATTTTATAATGTACTTAGAGCATATTAGACATTGCCGGGAATGTTTGAAGTTTGAATGGAAAATTTAGTGAATGTTAGACCGTGTTTGTTTACGGATTTTACTGTTCTAAACTTAATATTATTGTTTGAGTCTTTATATTTGACTTTATTTATGATTTTTTATATATATTTATAAATTTAAAATTAGTTTATATATCGTACCCTTGCCGTCTCCGTATCCTGTAATTTTAAAAATTGTCATTTTTCTGATGTGACACTTAACTCCCGTTAACTCCTCCTCCTCTTCTTCTTCCTCCCCAAAACTTCCCAGGTAAACCCTAAGATTTGTCCTTAATTTCCATTGAACTTGTCGATGGTGAAGAAAAATGGAGAATTTGACTCAAGAATATACGTGATGGCCATGGAAAGGATCTTATTCATTTATTTCAGACTCAAATCACCCCCTCTTTATCAGTCTGTTAGTTCTCAAATGAAAAAAAAATATTAAATGACACAGAGTTATTTGGGTGAAGGAGCTCGGCTACTTCTTGCGCAGAGGGGCAATAGTGATATTGTTGTTTATGACAATGATGCTGCAAGTATAATATCATATGCTCTTAGTTCCAAAGAATATGATGAATGGGTTGCTGATAAGTCCAATGGTTTGTCCTCTTTTCATTTTCAAAGCTTTCGTTCCGTGTCTCCAGTTGCAGTATAGAGGATCTAATATATTAGTTCTAATTGTAATGTTTTTTGGATGACTTGATAGGTCTCTCAAGAACACCTGAAAGATGGAAAGGAAACAAAAAAGGATCTCGTGGTGATGGAGAACCTATTTTTCAGAAGTACGTCTAGGATTTATGATCTCAAGGGCTTTGCACGATCACGATATAATCCACATACAGTTGGAAGAAACAAAGTATTGTTAGACATGAATCTGTTAGAAACATCGCGAACAGAGCCCATTTTTATTGGAAGCAAGGCGAAGAGAAGTCTCGAGAGAGCTATTTGGAACGACACATCTTTTCTGGCGGTAAGTTGCTTTTAACATGAACTAGTAAAATGGTTTGTCACCGTCCAAGTTGATTGATGCCGTAACCGAGATTTTCATGATGTGAACGAAGTTCTTCCATTGCACTTTAGGTTGTTTTGCCCATCTGTATTTCGATTCTAGCAGCAAGGTTTTGAACATTGTATTCTGTGGTTTTCAGTCGGTTGATGTCATGGACTGTTTATTGCTGGTCAAAGTGGATAAGGAGCGGAAAGAGCTTGTTCTGAGAATAATTGATCACATGAGACGACATACCTAGGACAAGCACTTGAAGAAAGACACGAGTTAATGCATCTGGGATACTGAGAGGGGTAAAGAATGCATCCAAATAATTAGGGACGAAAGAATGCTCGTTCACTTCCAGCCAAATCAATAAAGTTCTGCACCCAAACAACTGTGTGATTTAATAATTTTTTCTTTCATTTGAGAACAACTAAACTGATAAGGGGGATTTGAGTCTGAAATAAATGAATAAGATAGTTTCCATGGCTTCCATCACATACATTCTTGAGTTCCATTTTTCTTCACATTTGATAAGTTCAGTGGAAATCATAGATAAATGTTAGGGTTTACAGGGGAAGCTTTTAGGGAAGAAGAAGAAGGAGAGGAGGAGTTAACTGGAGTTAAGTCCTAAACGATTCAGTATTCCTTCTTCTCGTTTGAACAAATTTCAAGTCATAAACATCACTGTAAATTAAATCATGCGATTTAGTATTCCTTTCAACAGTTTGAAAATAAGATCTTGTTAGTTTTACCTCAATACATCCTTCATATTTATGATTATAATTAATATGAAATGAAGGGGTGTGTTTTAAGTTAATTAGTCTCTGCATAACATCATAATTAACATGTCTAAATCTACCATGTCATAAATTAAATGACTCTAGCATATAAACAGAAGAATAAACATTATTCTTATTAATGTTTTTGGCTTTTACAAATATAACATTGAGTTTCCACATATCATTCAATACGTATTCTCTATACACATGCATTCAATCTTTAGACAAAATCAACTTTTGAGATTCAAATATCCTTCTAGAATCGTGACCACTTAAGAGTGTTCCAGAAACAATGTTTTTTCATGTGTCAGGTTCATACAAAACATCCTGCAACATGAGTTATTTTCCTGAAGTCATCTTCAATACTACAGTAATCTTCCCCTTGATTTTGAAAGTCATGACATTGCCCATGTAAAGCTTATTCTCATTGTTGCAAAGTGTCAATTCAGAAAAAGAGTCCTCGTTGAAACAAATACGACACGTGGCTCCATTATCAAGTCACCATTCTCTTGGATTAGAGTCAACCAGGTTGACTTCAGAGATCACAACACATAGATCTATACATCAACATCCTTAGCCATTCTTCCCACAACATTAGCCTCCTGAGCTTTGGTTTTCTTAGGATGTCTAGATTTAGAGGATTTGTGACACATCTTTCCACAGTTAAGCCACTTCATTTGAAATTTATCCTTCTTGAAAATTTCACCTTTAGGTCCCAACTTTAACCTATTTTGGGTTGTTTTCCCTTCTTGAAGTCTTTGATATTTATCACGTTTGTCTTAGCCTCTTTGAAGGTTTCTTTGAATTTTTTTTCATTAAATCTTTTGTCTTCTTCTATTCGAAGTTTGAAAACCAATTCTTCTACAGTCATTTACTTCCTTTTGTGTTTAAGATAATTCTTGAAGTCACTCCGTCTTGAAGGAAATTTTTTAATAATCACGACTACCTGAAAGGAGACGCCTATGACTATTCTTTCGGCAAGAATTCTATTAATAAGTAGTTGGAGTTTCTCCACTTGTTTTACTACTGATTTAGAGTCAACCACAGTAGAATTCAAAAACTTGAGAACTAAAATCTTTTTAGCTCAAATATATCCAGCTTTATATTTGTGGTCCATTGCCTCCCACAGTTTCTTAACTTTTTCATAACCAGCATATACCGGATATAGTGAATCTTGTAGATTATTCAGTATATAGTTCCAACATATATAATCAATATGTTTCTAAGCATCAACAATATTATAAGCGGTAATATTGTCTACATCTTCTCCTTCTCCCTCTTTAAAGATAATAGCATCTTCATTAAAAAACTTAGAGGGGTTCATTATGGTTAGATAGAAAAACATCTTCTATTGTCACATCTTGAAATTCTCTCCACATAATTTTGTCATTCTAGCTGTGATTAACTACCACTATCGGTTGACTCGTATTTAGATTTGAATTCTAAACTGAAATAATCATTGTAACCTCCAAGTTGGGTAAACCGATGAGTCTAATGTTTTTTTTGTAAAAGAAATGAAACTAGAATTAGAAATAATTCCAATAAATAGAAAATTAATTCTTGTTTTTTTTTTCAATTGTTATCAGGCAGAATCAATGCTCTGAAACAAAATCAATAACACCAGTTAAGACAACAAGATAAATTTTGAAACAAATTTATTTGTTATCTCGATTTTTTGAAATTTTTGAATCATCTCGGATTAAGAAAGGTAGAAGAATGACATAATATTTTATCCTAAGATTGTTATACAAAATAACAATCTGAGACAAAAATTGAACCTAAAAAATAAATAAACTAAACTTAAATTTTTATAAGTTTAATCCTAAAATTTTAGAAGTTTTCTTCACTAATATAAAAATTTTAAGTTTTCCTCATAACAGGTAGTACTTCCCCTTCCCCCTTCGAATTTCACTCACTTGCCCTCTAAAACAAGGGAAAAAACCAGTCAGAGTGGAAGAGAAAATTAAAAAGACAAACAAGAAAAGGAAAACACAATATCTAAAGAGACGAATTGCTTCATTTACATTATTTATACTAATAATCGCATTCCCACCGCGTTTTTGTTCATTCCTCGAAAAGCATTTCCTTTTCGATAATTATTAAAATAAATTTTACGATTAGTATCTCAATTATTATTTTTATTCTATTTTGATCATCAAATTATTATTTTTATTTTAAAATCATATTTAACGTTACGTTTTAATTTTATTTTGGTCATTCACCGTTAAAAAATTTGACGTTGATTTTGATGTATCATCATAAGATAATACCACGTGATTATTTATTCTTTTAAAAAGATATCTTGTCAACAATTCTGTTATTTAAAAAAAATATAATTATCTATAAATGTTGATAAAATATAATGTGATATTTTAGTTTTATATAAATATATAAATGATTTAAAACACGTTTTTTATTTTTTAAAATAAAACTATCATAGATTAATATAAAATATTATACTACAAACAATAATATATCACCCTCCGTGAAAAGAAGAAGAAGAAAATACACAATTTGAAATACTTGATGATTTTCACAAATTTGAAAAGAAGTGATTAGGGACTAGTACAAATTTTATTTTATGAGGGGTAAATTTCTAAAGTTTCAATAAGAATAAGAATTTATATAATTATATGAGATGAAGATAAACTATTAATAAAAATATTAAAAATATATAATAATTTAGAATTTAATTGAGGAATAATTGTGCCACTACCCTTAGATTCATCTTTAAAAGTAAGTCGCATTTAGTGCACTGCTCGCCAGAATCTTTCCGTTCTTTTGGGGACAGTGGAGTGGACTTGCTTGGGTCTGAAGCTGTTTATTATTATTGTTATTATATCGTTAAAAAATTATAAGATCTATTTTTCAATCGTAATGTAAAATAAAATGAAGGATTATTCTATCAAAAGAAAATTAAAATGAAGGATTATTTGTTGCGTTAAGGTTTGAATTCTTTATTTTATTCATAAATTAAAAAATATTCACATTCCTTGTAATTACTATTTATAAAAATAAAACTGAATGAAAGCTCTTTACCACGTACAAGGCTTTCCATTAAGAAAAACCATTAAGTTGGAAACAAAAGCCGGCACACACGGACATTCCCATGCCTATCTCCACCTTCTCGCACATGAAGAGATTACATAGAATAAAACTTGAGTTCCAACGCTTCAAATTTTAATGGTAAATTATGTATTTAGTCATTTATCTGTTTCTATAATTTTGTTTGGTAGCTTAATATTTTTTTAAAATCATATGTAATGTTATATTTTAGTTTCGTTTTAATTACCTATCATTGAAAGATAAATAAATTTATTGATGTGATAGTTTTTGATAGGCGATATCAAGAACGTTGTTCCACTTCGAGTGGGAACTCAACTCCAGAAATGATATAGGAAGAAAGTAGGATAATGGTTGAAGCAATTTTCTGATATTCATTCATGGAAAACAACCCACATATAAATACTAGATGAAATACGACTCAACTCCCTCTACACTATCCCACTAACAATAGAAAATGTTATTAGTCTTGCTAAAAATTAGGAAGACTTGACTCAAAATAACAATATGCTAAAGAATAGGAAAACATGATTCTAACTAACAAGAAAGTGCTGAAAATAGAATGAAACACCATGCTCTGCAGAATCTTCACTTGGGCACATAGTCTTTAGCCCAGAATGGTTTATGTTGAGCTCTCTTAACAATTCCCCCCTCCATGACTTTAGCCTTGTCCACAAGGCTGCTATCATCTAGTCCTACGGAAACTGAAGGCACAATATCAGAAAAGAGCGATGGGTGACTGCAGCGAAGCTCTTCAACATCTTCCCAAGTGCAATCGATCGGTGCAGTGTTGCTCTATTGAATTAAGCATTGCTTTTTGAAATTCATTGAATTAAGCATTGCTCTTTTGAAATTCCATTGCTCCATAGTTGTCTCCAATCAATAATTTTTTCCGGAGTTACTATTGGTTTGTCATCCTCATCTGTTGCCGGAATTAGAAAAGTGGGTTTTGGTGGGTTATCTAAGCAGTGACACAGACGAGATATGTGAAATACGTCGTGGATTCTAGAGGTAGCAAGAAGGTCGATTTCATGAGCTACATTTCCAATTCGTCGAAGAATGCGATAGGGGCAAAAAATCTTGGAGCTAATTTCTGAGATGGTCTGCGGATGAGAGACACCTGACAGTACGGCTACAACTTGATGTATATCAATTCACCTTCTTCAAATTTCACATCCCGTCTCTTCTTGTTTGCTTGTTGCATCATTGCTTGTTGAGAGTGACTGAGAGCTTGTTTTAGTTCACTAAGGAGTTGGTCGCGATGAGTGAGTGTGGCATCAATTGATGCATTTTTTGAGGTACTGATGATATAGGAAGGTACTGTGGGTGGTGGTCTACCATATAGAGATTGGAAATGACTCATTTAGATGGAAGAGTGGAAGCTAGAATTGTAACAGAATTATGCTAAATGCAAATACATGCTCTATTTTTTTGGCTCGTCGCTAGTATAGCAACGCAGATACGATTCTAAGCACCGATTCACTACCTCTGTTTGGCCATCAGACTGAGAGTGGTAGGAGCTGATGTAGTGGAGTTTGGTGCCAAGGATACGAAACAGTTCCTTCCAAAACTGAGATAGGAAAAGTGAGTCTCTGTCTGAGACGATGGTTTTAGGAAGGCCATGGAGCTTATAAATTTCACTAAGAAAAACAGAGGCAAGATATGGGGCAGTATATTTTTTGTGGAAGAGATATAAAATGTGCGAACTTGGTAAGTCGGTCTATAATGACCCAGATGGTGGTTTTACATGTTGAAAGAGGAAGATTGGTGATGAAGTCCATGCTCAGGTCTTCCCAAACTTGTGAGGGAATGGGTAGTGGTTGAAGAATGCCATATGGTTTTTGAGTGGAGTATTTGTGTGTCTGACATATATGACATGAACTTATATACTTACGCACATCTTTGGACATTGCAGGCCAAAAGAATGACGAGGCCATACGTACTAGTGTGGCTCGATTGCCTAAATGTCCACTAAGTGGGGAGGTATGATATTCAGCAAGTAGTTGTTGTCGGAGTTCGGCCTCTGCATGTATGTATAACCTTCCATTAAAGTATATCAACCCGTCATGTATTGTAAAACCTAAAATGTGGTCTGATTTCACCTTCTGTAGAAAATCCATTCCTTTAGGCTTAGTTGTAAAATATTCCCGCAGGGCAGAGAGCCATGTAAACTCAGGAGCTATTATGGCGGCATATGAATATGTCTGAACTCGTGACAATGCATCAGCGACTTTGTTCTCTTTACCAGGTTTGTATATTATCTCGTAATCATACCCCATCAGTTTCGTAAGCCATTTATGTTGCTTCGGTGTTTGTACTGATTCCGATATGAGATATTTCAGACTTTGTTGGTCAATGAAGATAAAAAATTTGTGACCGAGTAAATACTGCCTGAATTTCTTTACAGCCTCAGTTAAGGTGAATAACTCACGAACTTAGGCAGATGCATCTTGCATTTGTGGCACCAGTTTCTTTTTGAAGTAGGATATGTGATGATCGCCTTGAGAAAGTACAACTCCAATAGCGGTTCCTGATGCATTAGTTGTAAGTTTGAATATAGCCATGAAATTTGGAAGGGCTAGTACATGTACTTGGGGTCATGGTATCCTTAAGCTCTTTGAATGCAACCTCTGCTCGTTCATTCCACCTGAATTGTTGGCTCTTAAGGAGGTCAAACAGTGGGCTTGCAATACCTGCATATTGACGAACAAAGTGGCGATAATAACCCGTGAGGCCAAGGAACCCTACCAACGTTGATACAGTGATGGGCTTAGGCCATTCCATAATGGCTTGAATTTTCTCTGGGTCTACTCGAACACTGTCACCTGAAATACTATAGCAACGCCAAAAACACATTTTGATAATTTTGCGTAGTACTGATGTGATTTCAGGATGGTGAAAACCTGAAGGAGATGTTCGACATGTTCCTTGAGTGTTGCAGAGTATATTAGGATATCGTCAAAGAAGACCAGTACAAAATGTCGCAAGACTTCATGAAATAAATCGTTCATGGTAGCCTGGAAGGTTGAGGGCCCATTGGAGAGCCCGAAGGGCATGACAACAAACTCATAGTATCCATCTATAGTGCGAAAAGTTGTTTCTAAATGTCCTCAGCTACCACACGTATTTGATGGTACCCGGAGCGCAAATCGATTTTTGAAAATACCGTAGCACCATGGAGCTCATCTAGTAATTCATCAACTGTCGGGATTAGAAATTGATCCTTAATAGTGATGGCATTGAGAGCACGGTAATCGACACAAAAGTGCCATGTCTCATATTTCTTTTGAACTAAGAGCACTGGTGAAGAATAAGTGTAACACCCTCAACCCGTACCCGACCCGGATACGAGTCTGAGGTGTCACATTAACTTTTCAAACTTTGACTCTTGACGGAAAATCAAGGAAATTTAAAACTTTCTTTAAAATAACATTATTACTTTAAATATGTTAACCAAAACAAGACAAAACTGATCAGAGCATTTGTAACTAACACTTTTCTTACATGCCAACACAATATACACAACAAAATACCTACTTTATCAGTTACTTCTGATCTGATCTTCTAGCAGTGTTGCTGTTCTTGCCACTCCTATTTCTGTTCTTCTCGATTCTTGGTACGTACGTGTAAATCACTTACACGCTAAGTCACAAACTGTGTGAGGCATAACATAAATATATGTATACACATGTATAACAATGACTTTATGAACATGCATTCTTACCATTGATCATGACATTTCGACTTGCATATGTCTATTACACTATAACACATATATGATGATAACATGCATTTATAAAACATATATTTTTATGCTAATTTCACTTTAATTTATCTTTGGATTTCCCATGTACATTATTGAGAACAAAGGTATGTGAGTACATAGAGGTTGTGCACTATGCTGTCACCACAGCTCGTATAATTCCCTCAAGGGGCACTGAAAATTTGTCCCGAATGACCATTATATCCCGAAGGACCACTGATTGTTCCGAAGAACCACTATGTCCTGAAGGACCACTAATAATCCCTCGACTCTTGGCATGCCAATTATACTTATAGCTCTCATATTGAATAACATTGGCTTAATTATAAATACATTTCTCGTTTCATATCTCTTTCATTACTGTCCATGTAAACACATAAGTCACTTCATATGATCATTTTTATTATTTCACATACCTGAAAGAATTCTCTGATAATGACATTCATTAATATAATATCATGTTAATCATGAATGAAAAATGCATGGAATCACTATAACGTTAACATTTATATATGTATGCATGTGCATGAATATAGAATCATAAATTCAATGATAAGAGATAGACTTATCGCAAGTCTTATCTCAATTCCATTTCATCTAGGATATGCACTCACCATGGCCTTGCTTGTTTTGACTTGATCCTATTCATTTGTTTGTTCCGGAACGAAATTATGTTCTATATCTACATGGTAATACATTGGTACTAATCAGTATACTAATTAATATATTATAAACTATCACTCTTTAGGCTAAAAAAAGCTATTTTTATCTTTTAATGAAGGTATGCATCGATGCACTACACCATGTATCGATGCATCCCTTAACGGGTGCATTGATGCACTAACTATGCATCGGTACATAAATCTCATTCGATGTTTGTATTTTAGGGGGTGCATCGATGCACCACTTGTGCATCGATACACTGATGACATTCGATGTTTTTATTTTAAAGGAGTGCATCGATGCACTTTATGTGCATCGATGCACATTGAACAATTTATGGGTTCTTACCCTTGATGCATCGATACACATTGAATGTGCATCGATGCACATAGCCTAGAATTGTTATTTTAGCACGAAAATCTCTTTATAATCTTCTCAACACTTCATATCTCCCCTCTTTTTATATCCTTAACTTGCATATACCTACTTAAACTAATTAATACCCATTCAATGCCTCTTAAACTTAAAAATCCAATCCTCCACATAGATTTTAAGAATCTCCCTCAATTTCCAACATGTTATAAATCTAATTTTAACACTTTGTATGTCTTAATTAAGTCGATGACAAGTCAAATTCAACCTGTGATTTCAAATATGAACTCTATTTCAAAATTTCATTCAATAACTCCTAATCTTTAATTCTTCCTACACCCTTCATCTTGTTGTTTTAAAGCAAATTAAGCTTTCCTTAAGCTTAATTAGCATCTAAGGATCAAAACAAAATTATATTTCAGCAAACAATTAACTCATAAAAAATCTCACCTTTGTTATGACCTCTTCACGTTTAGGAGAAAAGAAGAAAAGAAGAAAACTCTGGAACCTTGTTTTCCTTTCTTCTCTTCCATGTGAAGCTAATATATAAATCCCTTCTTTAATTATTTTTCCTTGCAAAAGACCATTCTATCCTTCTATTCTTTCTTCTTTGCAATTTAACCTTATACCAAATTACAATATTATTCAATTATTCTGTTTTAGTCATCAAATTCTGAATTTTTATAATTTAGTCACTAACCCGGTATTGAGGATTTCACAAATCTCCCCCTAAAGAAAATTCATTCTCAAATTTTCATTACATGAAAATATGGGGGGTACTGATTCCTCATATCTTCTTCACGCTCCCATGTTGCTTCCTCTACTTTGTGATTTCTCCACAATACTTTGACTAATGGAATAGTCTTGTTCCTTAATTGCTTAATCTCATGAGCTAAAATTTGAACCAGTTCTTCCTCATATGTTAAATCCGGTCGAATCTCGATCTCTTCTGGAGTCATAATGTGGGAGGGATCAGATCTATACTTCCGAAGCATTGAGACATGGAAGACATCATGAATCTTTTCCATTTCAGGTGGTAATGCCAATTGATATGCCACTGGTCTAACTCTCTTTACAATCTCATAAGGTCCAATGAATCGAGGACTTAACTTTCCTCTTCGACCAAATCTCAAAACCTTCTTCCAAGGAGACACTTTGAGAAACACTTTATCTCCTATTTGATATTTGATCTCATTTCTCTTTAGATCCGCGTATGATTTCTGTCTATCAGCTGCTGGTTTGAGATTACTTTGAATTACTTGAACCTTTTCTTCAACTTCCTGGATCAACTCCAGACCAAGAATTTCTTTGTCTTTAAGTTCGAACCAATTTAGGGGTGTACGATATTTTTTTTCCATAAAGAGCTTCATAAGGTACCATTTTGATACTTGATTGATAACTGTTGTTGTACGCGAATTCAGAAAGAGGCAAGTACCTTTCCCATGATCCTTTGAACTCGATAATACAAGCTCTCAACATATCCTCCAAAATTTGGATTGTTCTCTCGGATTGCCCATCGGTTTGTGGATGAAACGCTATACTAAAATTCAACTGAGTTCCCAACGCTCTATGTAATGATTTCCAAATCCGTG